TTCTGGCTGAACAGCAGGAAGAACTTCCTGACTGTTAGAGCAGTACAACAATGGAGCCAGAGACCTAGGGAGGTTGTGGGCTCTCCCATAGTGAGGCATTCAGAGATGTGTCTGGACATCCATCTGAGACAGATGCCTTAACTTGGAGCTGTGCACTCAGCAAGGTGTTAGACCCAATAGCTCTCTGGCCTCTTTCAGCTCTAATATTCCATATTTATACAGACAACCAATTTATTTTGGCAGATGAGGCAAATTAACGCACAAACACCTCTCTGCATCCCTGGTAGTAAAAACACAATAATAATAAAGTACACGATACACAACTTGCTGCCCTTTTAGGACATACAAAATTAGCTGCTGGAAAAGTTGCTATTATTCTAAGGATAAAGCCAGTTCTATCTTGGTGTGACTTTTTCTGGAAAAGTCCAGGCAATGGAATTTATTTTTTGTTAGTTTTTATACTGCCCAACAGCCAAAGCTGGGTGTTCACAACAGCATATTTAAAAAACCCATAAAATAGATCATTAAAACTTATTAAAACATAAAAGTTAGTAATAGAAAAATTTAAACCAAATAACAGGAGTTATACTTTAAGACCCTATTAGGTCCTTTCTAACAACCAGCAAGAAACTAATTAAATGCCCTGTAGAAGAATATGATGTTTTCCAGGTGCCAAAAGGATAATAAAGTTGATACCAGTTGGACCTCAGTGGGGAGCTTCTTGCATAACTGGGAGGCCACTACTAAAAAGGCTCTTGTCCTTGTTGCCACTATCTGATTTTCCTGTGGAGGCTGCTGATGAGAGAAAGGCCCAGAACTTGATGCTAGTGTCCAGGTAGACAGATGTTGGGAGACAGATGTAGGGCTTTTTAGTTCAAAAGTAGCATCCTGAATTGGGCTTGGAAGTGTATAGGCAGCCAATGCAAATGGGCCAGATTCAACCAAAGTAAAATATTTGCTATAAATAAATAACTCCTCACAGAAAATTCAGTTACAGCAGATTTTTTCAGTACCATATTTTACATGCATGATGGCTCCAAACTCATTCCCAAACCTCTGCAGGAAAACACCACATAGAACCTGCCACTCAGTGTAACAGTAGGTCCCCTTTAATTTGCAGAAAAGCAGCCCAGCTCCCACAGCTTATGCATTCCAGCTATTTTGGGTTAGTTCACCATTAGTGTTGATAAGACTCAATCATTTGATTGGCTGTTCTCTGAGATACTATTTCGAGCCAGGGCAGCTCCCAGAAAGAAGAGTTCATGCTTGCTGCTGATATACAACACAAATGTTCAGCAAATCACATAAATTGGATCACCCAGCCGTAAATTCTTCTTTCCCCTTTGTGAAGCACACGCTAAACTAAAAAGCTGCATGTTGAATGGCTTTGTTAATTACCTTCCTTTCAATCTATTTTAATATTCTCCCCAAAGAGACACAAGGATCTTTGTCTCATGGAAATTAAAGTCTACTTTAGTGGCATTCTATGCATTGAAAACGTTCTGTAATAATAAACACACAGAGTCTTATTCAAATTCTAAATGCAGGCTTCTGTGTAGTAGCAGCTACTGGAAGTCATGGAGTTAAGCTTTTATATACCTCCACCAGTCCCATTCAGAAAGAAAACTTGCCGAGTCTGGGAAAAGGAGGATCCATCTCCTATGGAGAACTCCCTGCAAATAGACTTTAATTATTTCCCTTCTCATCGGGAACACTAATCCTGACATGCCAAAACAAAATATCCTGCATTTCAGTCAAAGAAAGGTGTTCGGCTCATCCTACTCAGAGAAAAGAACAGTACCTGCCTAAGACTGCACATGTTATTAGGATTAAGCCTTAAAGGGACTCAATGGGGCATATTTCTGAGTTGACGAATTTAGGATTGTGCTGTAAAACATCACACTCATCAATCTGATGTGGCAAGTTGTATGTGGTATGTTAAGAAAAAAGTCATTGTAGAAGCATATGTACTTCTGCACACTGATCTTGGTAGAGAGAATTGGTGCTTAGCACATTATCTGAGCATATATGTCTACTATAAAGCCAAGAAATTATCACAGGACCAGAGCCTTTCAAGAGAACAGCTCTGTTCACTTATTCCAGCAAACACAACAAAGTCTAGTAGCACCTTTTAGACTTGCAACTGTATTATGTCATATGCTGTTGTGGATAAGCATCTGATAAAATGGTGGTCGTTGGTTCACAGACGTTCATGTTATAAAACATTTGATGCCCTTTAATGTACTATTACATTCTTCCCTGTTTTCATGAGAGGCTTAAAGTCTACTATTTGGTTTTGTCTCATTGTATCACTCCCTTTAGGTACTTTCTGGATTCTCAGAGGCCACTGATACCCAGGCCAACCTCCAAAGACTGGAAACATTTTCCCCCAACACAAGTTCACAGTTTGCTGGCTAACAGTTAAATTGTATATCTCTGTTCAAAGTGTGTATTTGCAAATGATAGTCCGCTGTATATGTTGGGAAAATTCAGATAAATCCTTGCAGAAAGGGTTGCTTATATGTGCCTTCATGTTATAAATTCACACCTGCACTCCTTTCTCAGAAGGTGCCAGCATTCCAAGCAAGGTCACTGTGTAGTGCTGTTGTTGCTTTAAGAAGGTAGAATTCTTAACTGGACTGAGATGCTGCTGTAGGCTAACACTATCACTGAGGAAATACCTGCGTTCTCATCAGCTGCAGAAAACTGAAACAATGGTGCCTTTGTTTCTGAATTAAGCATCTAGTCCCACAGAGGCAAATGCCTGCACAGTGCAGTTGTCAAACCAGATTTCCTGAATGGTTCCTCAATCAGACATATTTGCATGTTTAAACAGGATCCAAACTGCAAAGAAGTCTACTCAATTGACAGGTCAATAAGGCAATCAGTAATGTTTTCCATACTATTGTTACCAGTATTTCTGATCAGATTTAGAACATTATTTAAGGAACTGTTACCCTGACAGGGGAAAAAAGTTCCTGGTGTAAGTAAATTTAGTTCCCATTGTAAGTATATGGTAATTATTTCAAGGAGATCAACCCTGACTGCTTTTTAGAAGGCCAGGTAGTGAAGATGAAACTCAAATACTTTGGCCACCTAATGAGAAGGAAGGAATCCCTGGAGGAGCCTAATGCTGGCAACAATTGACTGCAAAAGAAGAAGGGGATGGCAGAGAATGAGGTGGCTTGACGGAGTCACTGAAGCAGTTGGTGTGAGCTTGAGTGGACTCTGGGGGATGGTGGAGGACAGGAAGGCCTGGAGGAATGTTGTCCATGGGGTCGCAATGGGTCAGACATGACTTTGCGGCTACCAACAACAACATGGGCTGTGATCTTGAAGCTGGCAGGGGGACCACTACCTAGGAGCATGCTGTGGTAAGTAACTGCAGGGGCCCTGGGTGATCTCACCAATAAAAATGCTGGGGTTCAAGGCGATTCAATCTTCCCTGTAAGTTCCTGGTAATTCATTCTCACCGTTAGCAAGACTGACATTTATTATTTATTTATTAAACTTTTGTATGCCGTCCTTTGTATAAATCTCAGGACAGCTTACAGCAATTTAAAAGAACAATTTAAAAAAGCATTTAATATCCAATAACAAAACAGTAATACTGTGTAAAACAATAAACAAACATCAAATATATACAAAACTCTGAGAGAGAGGGCAAGAGCAAGTTGATTGAAACCTGTGAAATTTTCCTTTCACCTTTTCCAGTGTGTACAACATTTTAACCCACAAAGCAATTATTCCTGGTTTATTTTGGTCCCTTCAAATGTTAGAAGCAGAGAAATGGTTTGTTGGCCATTCCTTGATCCTGGTCTAAAAAGTATTTAAACGAGGGTGTTTCCTAGGTTTTCTGCCTGAGATCACATGTCAATTTCTAAACCAAGCAATATACACATTGCTTTAGGTACATTTCCAGGCATCCCATACTCAAGCTATTGTCCTTCATTTCTAGTTCTTCAGAAATTCATTTCTTAGGGTGGCAAATTGTCATGTTTTGTAGACAGAAGTATTTTATTTGAAAAATGGTTAGTGTGCTGCTTTGAAGGAAACCTGTAATGAAAGGCTGTCAGATATAAGGGACTATTGACTGTTTTCACTGCCCCAAAAGCCACTGAATCAGTGGACCATCCAAGGCATACAGACAGACCACCTGCTAGCATTCTTCCGAATTATAGTATTTTTAATTACATTATTTCTAAATTGGCACTGACATATCAATTAGGTTATGAGAAGTACATGCAAATCTTTCTCCTCTGTTTGGTGACTCACAAGGTCCACCCTACTGTTTGACTCTATGCCCTGCTGAGCATGGTGTAGGTGAGGAAGTAGCTTAAGGTAAGAACAGCAAGTCTTGACACAAGATATCACAAAATTGTCCACACTTTCACAAATGGATTGTAAGGTAAGCACAGCACAGTCTTTCTTGCAGTGGGAATTGACCACAGGGTATCAAAAGCTTATGCCATCATAACGGGATAGTCTTTTAATGTAACAAGGCTATTTTGTTATGTTTGCTGCACATTACAACCTGTTCCACTCAAAAGTTTTTACATTTAGAGTCTATCACCAGAAACTCTATGTAAGCCTCCCCCAACCTGGTGACCACGGGCTGCGGATAATGGGAGCTGCAATGAAGGGAGCATGCAGTCCTTCACGTCAGGGTGTATCGGGTTGAGGAAGACTACCCTAAACACATAGGCTGAAAAGCCCTCGCCATCGAATTCAACGGGGACTTGCTCCCAAAGAAGTGAGAGCATTTTTACATTCCAGCCGTGAAAGAAAAACCCAAAGACCACAACGCCGCACATGTCGCCTCTCCACAACTCCAGCCCGCAATTCGTGACCCAGATCTTGAGTCCAGCCGAGCAGAAGTGGGAGTCAGCATGCGCATGCGTACATGTCTTCGCGAGCATAGGCACGCCTAGATTTGCCCGCCCACCTTCGCCGCCCCGCCCACTCCCGTCCGGACGCGCGTGCGTACTTCAGCCTTGGCGTGCCCGACGCGGCGCTTAACGTCAGTCCTTTCCTCTTAGCCTCGCGTCCAAGATGGCGGAGTACGACTTGACTACTCGCATAGCGCATTTTTTGGACCGGCATTTGGTCTTCCCGCTCCTCGAGTTTCTTTCCGTCAAAGAGGTGAGTGAGGCATCTCTTCATAGGCTCCGGAATCGGCCAGGGCTGGGAGTGGGAGGAGAGAAAAGGTCTGCGGAAGCCGCCTCAGTCCTCGCCACCGGCTAGGCCCAAGTGGCTTCCTCAGGCATCGTTGCTCAGGGCTCTCGTCGTTCCTCCTTTCAGAGGCTTCCTTCAGGAACTGTGGGAGTGGGGTGGAGCGGAGGATGTGGGTTGTGCATCTGCCCCACAAAACGTGGAGATAGGCAGTAATCCGATTCTATATCTCTTCAGCGGCATTTTTTAAAGTCCCAGCGGATGGCCTCTGGAGCAGAAAGGAGAAAACCGCTATACTTTTACCTCATCTTCTGACTTTGGGCCTCTTTTCGTCCCAGGGCGTAGCTGTAGAGGAATCCTGGGATTTTCCAGGCGTTGTAGATGACAATTCCCATCATCCCAGACTATTGGCCTTATTACCTGAGGCTAATGGGAGTTATACTCCAAAACATCTAAGGGGCAGGAAACTGTTGACCAAAAGGTCCGTATCTTGGTGTACATATGCCCAAAATACACATCAAGGAAAGGATTTCTTTTAAAAGACTTATTCTCGAGAAGAACCGGCTACCAACGAATTGTTCCAGATGGCGCACCTGAGCAGTCCTCAGCTGGCCCTTTTATAGGTTGATTGTTAAAGGGGTACACGTAACAGAGTTAACACTTTTAATGTGTTATAGAAGTAAAAAATGGTGTGATCTATTCCAGTTGCATAGCAAAGTACATGCTTCGAAGGAGGGGGGGAGGATGGGGTGCTATTACAAAGAAGAGGGATGGGCTACTGTGAATTGCTGTTTGTTTGGGATGCTGTTATCTGTCAAGTGCCAACTAGCTTTCTCTGGACTGATGCCTGGCTAGTGTCAGTTACCTTTCAAGGATGCACACATGCTAATTTCTAGAAAAGAGGGTTTATCTCAGTTTTGTGTCAATGATTACATGATTTAATCAATGAAAGTTATACCTGTTGATTTGCACATCAAACCCATGTTGCTAATGCTGTGCTAGGATACGATAAAGTTACAAAAATGAATTTGTGCTGGTGCAGTGTCCTTCCTGTTTGGAGTTGTGTCCCTTTTTATGCCTCATGTGCCTGTTGTGAGCTGCAGCTGTATCTTTGAATGCTGTAATCAATCTTTAAGAAGGGAGATTGAAGGCTTCAGAACAAAATACATTGGTATATTGTGCACAACAGCAGTAGCCAATCTTAATATGCTTATGAACTGTATGCATCTTCAGTTCTACACCTTTAGATAGTATGGTCTGGTAAAGCTTTTTTCCTGTCTCCCATTCTACTAAAATGGTTGTGGTTTCCTCAAGAATAACATGTTTATTTTAGCTTAAACACTTACGGACTCAAAATTTTCTCATTAAATGCATGGAGTGTCATTCTCAGAATTTAAGTTTAAAAACAATGTTAGAAACTTAAGCATAATAGCTTGTTTTGTTTCTGTTGCATCAAAGTAACATGGAAGTTACTACTTGAGAGTTTGTGAAGTATAATGAATGGTTAGTGGCTTAAACTAAGATAAAAGAAACACTTGGTGTGGATCTTATCTCTGCTTTAATAGCTTTTGGGTAACTCACTCTTTAGTTGCTTGTCTCTGCTATGAATTTATTGTTAGCAGCTGTGATAATTTGTCATGATTTGAATGCCTGACACCTAATGAAATGCTTCCCTTGTGAAACTGTAGCTAGTTTCTACCAATGAGCTCCTCCAATGAAGTTGGACTGACATGTCTTTGAAAGACCATCCTAGGCTTCACTGCCCGCACAAGTTACTGTGGTGTAATGGCTAAAAACCAAATTATGAATTGGGAAGATTCTATTTTGAATCTTGCTTCTGCCATGAACTTATTGGATAGTTTTAAACTATGTTTTCAGACCTGCTCCTCAAAGTTTGCAATATTTGGATAATACTATTAACCTTCCTCACAGGGTGTTACAGGGATTACAAGAATATCTGGAACATATGGAATACTGGAATGCACAAGATAAAAGTCAAGTATTATTAATTTTCAGCCAAGTATTGAAATCTACATCTTCATATGATAGGTTAGCTAAATACAAAATTGAAGATAGATTTCATTTTGAGCTTCAAAAATGAAAATCATTGTCATTTTCCCTGGGTGAACAGCAGATGGTGTTAACTATTTAATATTGGTGTATCAGTCTGAGGAGTGCATGTAGGAAGGTCTTTTTAGGAACTGAGCTTTTTAGGATATTTGGCTGACTTGGTGAAAAGATGCTCAAATATTTGGCTTGTCTTGAATGCTTGAAGGTTTTTTCACCAATAAAAGTTGGCCCAATGAAGTATGCTCTGTACTTTCTATGTCTTTTTCAGAGGCTAAACTCTGTGCCTCACTTTGTTGAAACTATAAAGCAAAGAAATATTAATTTAATATCCATGTTGAAGGGAAAGCAATAATCCATTTTTAAGAGGAACTATTCTAGGACATTGCTATGACTGATAGCTAACAGCATTTAAAGTAAAAGTGTTCAAACATAACTTCTCAGATCTCTTAAATTTTCATTATGTAAATAAGATCAAGATTGTAGATATTTGCCTTGTTTGCAGGAAAATGTGTGATGGGGGAGATCTATTAAAGACTTTGATTACTGGCAGGGACCAACTTAATCACACTGCCTTACTTGTTCTTATATGTTGTTATATTGTAGTTGTATTTGATACTTTCCTGGGAATCCAATTTATATTCTGATTTATATTCTGGAATATAAATTCTTATATAAAATTAAAGTGTTATTAAAATTGTTGTCAATCACCCAGATTTTGGGCAGTATAGAAATGCATGTCAACTATTGTTTTTCTGCAGATATATAATAAAAATGAATTGTTTCAAGGAAAACTGGATCTCCTTGGTGACACCAACATGGTGGATTTTGCTGTGGATGTGTACAAAAATCTTGATTCCGATTATATCCCTCCTGGTAAGCTTTTTGATCCTAAATTTATGGCATGAGTTTCAGGAAAATAAAAAGGTAACTAAAACATTACGCACTGAACTTTACTAATGACCAAATCAGAGGTCTTTTATTCTGCCTGGTTCCCTGCTCAGTTTTACTAATTCATTTCCATGTTTGTTTCTGTGCCTTGGTGACAGACAAGACTTGGCTTGCTTTCCACTTCCAATTGAGTATTTGTATTGGGAAGTGGAGAAATTTATTCTTAATTCAGGCACTGAATCAAGTGGGGAAGAAGACAGGTTTTTCTTCCATTTCAGTGTGTACTGAAATACAAAACAGGAAAAGCAGTGGATGAATTTTTCTTTTCCTCATGTTATTGTAGGGCAGGGAGGTTTTTTTTTTTTTTTAAGTTCTTATCTTCCCCTTCTTTTGTTCGAGGCAATGGCCTCAACTGGAATGATGAACCAGATAAGTAGGGTACAAAGGAGGACTGGAATTCTCTATCCTTTATCCTGTATGGCAATTGATGGGCCTTTCCCTAGTATTATGTAAACATTACAAAGAATTTGTGTTAATCACAGACTTGTCTCATCTTTTCTATTTCTCCTAATGACAAGATTTCCCTGTAACCAGGGGTAGCTCATCCATATTGGAACTCTTATTAGGGAAGTCATACTACTTAGAGGGCCAAATGGTAAGATCCCATGCACATTCTTGTCAATGAAAATACGCTTCTCCTATATGTACCTCCATCTTCCTCTCTCTAATTTTGTTCACACATTTTCTTGGTTAGAAGGTTCTTCTTAAATCTGTTTGTTCACATTTTCTTACTGCATGTATTCAGTTTATATCTGAAGTTTTCAGATATAAATCTAATACTGCAATTAGATTTCTTAGTTAACAACATATTTGCCATTCTTAATTTGCCATTCTAGTTGATTTACCAGTTTCAAAAATAAAATGACAGACTTTCCCAGTGTATCCAGGATGCATTTTTAAATCATTTCTTACAGTTTGCATTTGCGCTGCTGTAACTCACAGTATTCTGCTGTGAGTCTTATTTGCGATAGTAGATATAGTAAATGCTATATAGTTGATATTAAAGTGATTTTGGTGAGTTGATAATAAAGTATGCCTAATGTAATGGTTACATTTGAACCTGCTAGAATACATAGTATTTCCAGTCTGTTGAATGTTGCCTTTTTTACCTTTTTGTGTAGATGACTGACTTGCATTTTATTTTTCGGTCCAGCTTTGTATGAGAAAAGAGCTGTAGTTGTTGCACAGCTAAAACAATTTCAAGAAGAAACAGAACCAATTATCAAGATGTTTGAAGACAAAGAAACTGTACAACAAATGCAGACAACTAGGTAATGCTTCTGGGTGTTGCCTTCCTTAGTTGTAAAAATACAATGTGTGTTTAGAGAATTGCTGCTTATATGGTCTGTGTTGCATCTTCTGGTTAAGTGTTTTGCCATGCAATTCTTTGCTTCTCTACTCAAAAATATATTCTACTGAATTCCAGTAAACTTGCTTTTGGACAAATATGCATAGGATTTTAGCCTTTGTTACTCTTTCTGTACCTATATTGGATATACAATAGCTTAGTAATAGCTCAGTTTTTATGCATTGCTGATACTTTGCAGGTTGTGACAGCTAAGTTTGTGACAGCTAATTGAAAGATGCTTTAAATTAAATTGTAAATCAAAATTGTTATCTTTCAAGTATATAGTTCTCTCTGAAAAGAATTTGAAGCATTGAAATTAAGTCTCACTCTCCGATATTATTGTGTATAATGTTTAAGAGGATGACATAAGTAGTTGTTGGATCAAACAGAGTATAGTGCAATTGTACTGGGGTCCAGAAAACTTTGTCGAAAGTCCCATTCCTTCTTTTTTAATAGGCCAGAGGTAGCAAACAGTGAAAGGGCACCAAGGAACTAAAAGAGGCGAGAAAGAACGTTTGGTTAGAAAGTTCTCTTGCCGCAGCAGTTATTCAGTTATGTAAAACCCTGAAGCTACAAAACTGAGCATTTTTCTTAGGGCACATGTGAGAAATTTGTGGCCCTCCAGTTGTTTTCACTTACAACTCATTAGCTGTAGTCATTAATGCAGAATGATGGAAGTTTTAGACCAGAACTTTTGGAGGGCCACAGTTTGCTCACTCTTCCTTTAGTAGACCATTTCTATTTGAAGGGCTGACTGTTGCAGATCTTTAGTCTAGACCAACAATTACAAATAAAAAGGAGAAAACAGCCTAAGGCACAGAACATTAGGCTGTTGGTTGGCGGATCAGGCTTCGGGGAGGGTGAATTGAACCTAGTCCTGAATGGGGTTGCACTCCCTCTTAGGGACAAGGTCCGCAGCTCAGAAGTGCTTCTCAACCCAGAGCTTTCACTGGAAGCTCAGGTGACGGTGGTGGCGAGGAACGCTTTCTTTCAGCTTTGGCTGATCCATCAGCTGCGCCCCTACCTGGAGAACGACTGCCTGGCGACAGTGACACACGTGTTGGTGACTTCCCACCTTGACTTCTGTAACGCACTCTACGTGGGGCTGCCCTTGAAGACGGTCCGAATATTTCAATTGGTTCAAAATAGAGCTGCCAGCCTGCTGACGGGGACTGGGCATTATGTTCACCTGACTCCAGTCCTCCGTCAGCTTCACTGGCTTCTATGGAATGCGCTCCCCAGAGAGATCCGCCTGGCGCCGTCGTTATTTGTTTTTCGGCGTCAGGCGAAGACCTTTTTATTCAGATGTTATTTTAATTGTTAATATTATTTATTCATTTTATTCTTTGGCCAGGGCGACTTAATTTATATTGTTAGTTTATATTGCTTTATTGAATTCTATTTATTTATGGTTGTGAGCCACCCCGAGGCTTCAGCGAATGGGGCAGCATAGAAGTCCCCTAAATAAATAATAAACATTAACCTGTAGAATTCCTATTTTACTTTCTTGTTGTTTGGGATGTTGTCGGACTCCCAAAATTTTTAACTTTTTCAATTTTGAATGTTTCAGAATAGCTTTTGAAATGGATGTTGAGCTTCTTAGTAAGTTAAAGTCTGATATAAATAGCAATTCAGAATCTGGAATGAGACTGTATAGAAGACATGTTTGTATAGTAGCAAATGGGAGCTTTGTCATAGTTTGAAGATAATGACAGTTCTCCCACAAATATTTTATCTCTGGAGAAAATAACCTTAATGCAGTTTGGGATACTGTTAAGCCGTAACCAATTTCCTCTTACAATTAGAGGAGAACAGCAGAATGGGAAAGACTAGAGAACTCTTCAGGAAAACTGGAGATATCAAAGGAACATTCCATGCAAAGATCAGCATGATAAAGGACAAAAATGGCAGGGACCTAAGAGAGGCAGAAGAGATTAAGAAGAGGTGGCAAGAAGACACAGAAGAACTATACAAGAAACATCTCAAATGTCCCTAATTACCATGATGGTGTGGTCACTGATCTTGAGCCAGACATCCTGGAGTGTGAAGTCAAATGGTCCCTAGGAAGCCTTGGCATCAAAAAAGCTAGTGGAGGTGACGGTATTCCAGCTGAGCCACTCAAAGACAATGCAGTTAAACTACTACACTCAATACGCCAGCAAATTTGAAAAATTCAACAGTGACCACAGATTTGGAAAAGGTTCATTAATGTTCCAAACTCAATGAAAGGCAGTGCCAAAGAATGTTCAAACTACTCAATCATTGTGCTCATTTCACTTGCTAGCAGAGTTTTGCTCAAAATCCTACAAGCTAGGCTTCAGCAGTATGTGAACCAAGAACTACCAGAAGTACAAACTGGGTTTTGAAGAGGCAGATACCAAATTTTCAACATATGCTAGATCATGGAGAAAGCTAGGAAGTTCCAGAAAAACATCTACTTCTTTACTAACTTTGATTGTATGGATCATAACAAATTGTGGCAAGTTCTTAAAGAGATGGGAGTACCAGACCATCTTATTTGTCTCTTGAAAAACCTGTATAAGGGTCAAGAAGCAACATTTAGAACTGGACATGGAACAACTGAAATTGAGAAAGGGGTATGAAAGGGCTGTATATTGTCACCCTGCTTATTTTACTTTACTTATATGCAGAGTTCATCATGCAAAATGCTGGGCTGGATGAATCACAAGCTGGAATTAAGATTGTTGGGAGAAATAACCTCAGATATGCAGATAATACCACTCTAATGGCAGAAAATGAACTAAAGAGCCTCACTGAGGGTGAAAGAAGAGAGTGCAAAAGTTTGCTTGAAACTCAGATGACATGATCTTAGTTTTTTTAATGCTGATTCTATCACTTCCTGGGAAATAGATGGGGGGAAAATGGAAGTGACAGATTTTATTTTCTTGGGCTCCAAGATCACCGCAGATGGGGACTGCAGCCAAGAAATTAAAAGATACTTGCTCCTGGGGAGGAAAGCCATGGCAAATCTAAACAGCATACTAAAAAGCAGAGACATCACATTGCCAACAAAAGTTCGTGTAGTCAAAGCTATTGTTTTCCCTGTTATGTATGGCTGTGAGAGTTGGACCATAAGGAAGGCTGAGCGCTGAAGAATTGATGCTTTTGAAATGTGTAGGAGAAGACTCTTGAGAGTCCCTTGGACTGCAAAGAAAGCAAATCAGACAATCTTAAAGGAAGTTAACCCTGACTATTCTTTAGAAGGACAGGTACTGACGCTGAAGGGTCAAATACTTTGGGCCACTTAATGAGAAGGAAGGACTCATTGGAAAAGACCCTGATGTTGGTAAAGATTGAAGCAAAAGGAGAAGGGGATGCAGAGGATGAGATGGTTAGATAGTGTCACTGATGCATTGTGTCAGGATCAGGGCCTGAGTAACTCTGCAAGTGCTTGCAGAACAAGTAGCACCTTTGTGGGTACTTGCAAGGACCACTTGTGGAGCATTTAGGCAATGCAGCTGGAGACCCTGAAGACCAGAATAAATGGCTTCCCTGCACTGTTGCTCCTTGCCACAGCAATGCAGGTGTCCTGGTGACTACTTTTGCTCTGGCCCCTGCTTCACTATGCCTTTTCCCAGTTTGTTTCTGCCTTTTTCAAGTCTGTTCCTGCTTCACTCCAGCTAGCACTCCTGCTCTTCCCATCTTTCTTCTAAGTAGACACTGCTTCACTCCAGCCTGCTACAACCCTTGCATCAACATCTCTCTGGTAAACTGACTTTGGAACTGTGCTCTGAGTTTCTCTCTCTCTCTCTCTGTGCATACCGAACTCAGACTGCTTTCATCCATGCCTTTGACCTGGACTAGCTGACTTGCGCCAAGCCTCTGGCCCATAGTGAGCCCTGGACTCAGCTCGAGCTCGTGCCCTGGACCTGGCATTCTGCCCCTCCTTGCCTCCACACAATGAACATGAATGTGGGTGATTTCCAGTAGACAGTGGAGGCCAGGAGACCCAGGCATGCTGTGATCCATGGGGTCGCGAAGAGTCGGGCATGACTTTGCAGCTGAACAACAGAGAGAGAGAGCGAGCGAGCGCGTGCAAGAGTGCATGGTACTGTAACTGGCTGAACTAAGTCTTTGGCCATTATAACTGTGATGGTGAGCTTTCATGTCTTCTTCCTTCACACTTTCAGGTTTGTAATTGTTCTGTTGAAATGATGGCTTTAAAAATAAAGAGTTTGCTTGTTTAAAGTTTGCTCCCAGTTTTGCATCTTGATTGGATGAAATTAGTTACTCTACCTCTTACAAGGAACATCCTGCCTACACCATCCGGTTCTTTCATATTAGATAGCTATTTCATTTATTATTGAAAGAGCTGTTGAGGAATATGCTCACTTTAAAGCATTAGCTATAATTTCCTGTGTTGCAGTGTTGATTACATGACATTTCCAAGTAATACCTGATTACTGAGATTCTCATTTACATTGATGTTTTATATGTATGATTATGTATATAATCTGATTTAAGTTATGATCTAGTATAATTTGAACTAGTCATTGGAAATTGACTGTTCTTGATTGGCTTTTAGTTTATTTGCTTATCTTCTGTGTTGAGTTTCTAAATGATTCTGATAAACTAGCTGCATATGTCTAGCTTATTTAACATCTTGTAAGTTAGGTCATACTTGGCTCCCAGAGTATATGTCCTGCATAAGGAACAGGAATGGAGCAAACCATCACCACAAGCAATTTGTTGTGAGGTTGAGGTTTATACGCATACAGTGGATCACAAATAAGCCAGTTCATGTTTTTGCATTCTACAGCTTTGTAAAAAATGCATGCTGAAGATATGTCTTGAATGAAAATGAATTTGTGTTGATATGTTAAATATGCACATTGGGCTTGCTTTATTTGAACTAATTGCAAGTAAATGAATGAAATGAACTGGTTTCAGTGGGCAGTTAGGTTTTTATTCTGATGCTTTTTTGAAAAAGTAATTTATATAACGAGAGTTATCTTTTCTTTATTGCAGGGATGGTCGGATGCTATTTGACTACTTAGCAGACAAGCATGGTGTATGTATTGGTCATTAAATCTGTGTCATTGAGTTAGATGTTATGTTTTTATCTTGTGATTTCAACTTGGCTTATCAAATTAAATAGCAAATATAAATATGAACAAAGTTCTTCAGGTATGAGAATTGGCTGTTCTTGCAACTAATCAGAATTATGCTTTTAAGACACAATTCTGTGCATATTTAGCTGGGTGGGGAGTGCAAGAGTCGTAGAATTTTTTCTCTGTAGTTGGGGATAAGATTGCATACTTAATTACCCAAACTGGATGAAGGGATACTTTGGGATGGGGAGCTGGATGTCAGGAATCAATGCCTCATCCCTTAAATTATGCCAGGAACGTAATTACACCTGCCTCATGTCACACACTTTTTCCTTTGTGCTGAAGAGAAGCTCATAGTGTTGTGCCTCCTTCTGGCTAGCTATCCTGTAAGTTATTGGTGGTTGGGGAGGGTGGGGCCATTTGGGAAACTTTGGCTCTCCTGGTAGTCCTTCAGGCCTGAATTTCTGTTCTCCTGTATTAGAAGGATACAGGAGAAGGAATGCTTGCTTGTGCAGAATAGCTGGTGGGGGGGTGGTGTTGACTTTTGTTTGACTGTGCTATTGGATATTTTAATGGTCTATTTGCTTAAGTAAGCCTAGCCTTGCAAATAAGTCCAAAAATGTTTTTAGCCCAAAACTTTTCAGTTGTCTGCCTACAAACATTGATAAAAATTAAATCTCAGTAGTTCTTTTATCTGTAGACCTTTTAAAATAGTATGTTCTGGAGTTACAAAATTAAAAAGAGGAAAAAATGCAAAACATATTTTTTGAAGGGACAAAATGCTGTTTCAGAGAAACTTGATAAATGTTATAAAGGGGCTTCTCAATGGTGATCCCCTGTACAAGTTCTGGAATATCAAAGAGAGATCAAATGATTCCCATTAAAAACCCCTTTAAAAACCTGTATCAATACTTTGACATTTTTACTTGGGGTAATCATACACAGTCTTGCAAGTCCCTCATACCAAAGTAGTGTCCTGACTTTTTTTTAAGAATGCTGCAGCATCTGCAGTAAATAGGAGCAGCCAGTTAAGAGTTCACTTCACAGTCTTCTATCTGATTCTGCTTCATGCTTAAAAGAAAATAGTTTCTTCTGGAGAGTGACTACACTGGCAGAACACAGAGAATTCACTGAAATGTCAGCTTCATTTACTGAGCTTTGGTTGGGTCCTTTTTGATTCGCTTATCTCAGCCAGACAAATTCTGGCTTTGAAACCTACTGGATTGAAGTTAAATTTGCAGTGAAATCTGTGTGTGTTTCTTCAAGGGTAAATTGGGGCATCTGTTTCACCTAGTTGCTGGAGAAATTCTTTCTACCAGTAGTGGCCTACTTATTTCTAATAAGTAATGATTTCTTATTTTGATCAATTTCTAATGATCATAGCTCATTCTTTGTCTTCATGTAATTAAAGCTCATTTGACTTTTCCATCAATGCTTGTCATTTTAGCAGTGTAACACCAGGCATAAACATCCAATGAAATGAAGTGGTAGATTAGTTTATCAGCATAGGTGAGATTTAGTATGTTTAGCTGTTCCGCCATGTTAAAAAATGCTTTATGATAAAAGAAAACAAAAGCAATAACATCTCAGAAGGAGTTATAGTCTAGGCTGCTTCCTGCTCTACTGCTTTTATGGAGAACTCAAAAATTACTCTCCACCTTCCATCTGAAGCAGTACAGCCCATTCTGTGACCTCAGAACTCTGCTACCTCATTCCTAATTAGTTCTGCCTGTTTAGACCAGACTTAACTCTAAAGTAATCAGTTGAAACATTTTCTTGATGTATTTGTCTGGGTTGTTTTTTCAGTTTAGGCAAGAGTATTTGGATACAATCTATAGGTATGCTAAATTCCAGTATGAATGTGGCAACTATTCAGGAGCAGCAGAATACCTGTACCTGTTTAGAGTGTTGGTGAGTATTAACTAATTTTTATCTCATACTTCTAAATGTTTGTCTAGGGCCTGTTCATAGTTCTAGAACTGGACTTCATATGAATCTGCCTTTAATTTTGAGAGTGTTAATTTCAATATCCTTCTCAGAGATTTTTTTCTGGTAAAATTTATTTGTTTTCCATGTCTAAACAATATCAAGAGCAGGCTAGCCTTTCTGTTCAGTTTCTGAAAGTGCCTGGTGCCCTTGTAAGAATATACTTCATATGTGTGGTGCTGCTTCTCTATCTCTGGAATATTCATCCTTCAAAAGCTTATCTTTTTTAGTCACTCTTGACTTTTAGAACATTAGAGAATATTCCATGATTATATAGGCCTTTAGTTATTGGAGAGCGGCAGACAGGCTCTTTTTAGTGTTTTTAGGGAATGTAGCTTATTGCATTATTTTTGTTTTTTGGACCTGTTTTACTTTTATTGCTGTATCTGTAATATAAGGCACTTCAAGATGCCATTTGACAGGCAATAGGGCTTCTAGGGATTTTTTTTTAAACTCAAATGTACTAATATGTAAAGTTAGTGTTTAGGAACACAACACTAGTAAGATGTTCACAGATAAAACAATGTTCACTTATAAGTGGTTCTTGACAATTTTGTCAGACTTCACTTGTATATTATGAAGAAGTCATGGTCATGTGCTCTGGAAACAGTTCACACCAAAAGCAACTTAGTTGTTGCAGAGTAATCAGTTTAACTTAGTATAAGTTAGTATAATTTTGCATAACCTAAATGGATTATGGTGACAAACTTAACAACACATCAGAGAGATGATTCAGTGTACTATGAGTTCATTGTGATCAACAACTGAGGTTCTTCTCTAAAAAACAGGATGACAACAGTGGAAGTCTTCTCTCTGTCTCCTTAACTATGGGAATGCTCTTTTTGTTGCGGTCTGTTTGGTGCCAGCACAGTCATTTAGCACCACGTTAAGGTTTTTCTCTGCTTTCCAGGCATTCGACAGCTCATGAAGTGGTGCCTCAGGTTTTCTTCTTTTTTTAATCAGGTCTTAGTATTTTTATTAATAGTTTTTACCTTCATTTCACACTGTTCTTCAATACTCAAGGATTCGACATGCTCTGAACTAGTTGGAGAGCTTGGGCTATAGGTCTATACAGAAATTCAATGAATGATTATTCATATTAATTGCTAGTCTGTATGTGTCAAGGGTATATTTTTTAAGAAAAGATCTAGTATTACATTGCTCCTACCATGGTAAATGTATTTGTAGCTGGCTAAATAAACATTTTATTTAAAGAAATGGAAACTTATGTTTGGTAAAATCCATATAACTGAAACTACTCTAGCATATCCTTCACTGAAAATAGATTTAGCAGTGCTAAATTGAGCTGTATGGAAGTAAGCCAAAATAGGAAGTGTACGTTTTGTCAGCTGAGCTCTTTTACTCTAAAGTCAAGTGAACTAGAATTTTCCCCGTGGACGTTTAAAATGTGTATGTTTCTAATATATAAGGCTTCTGCGGTGTATGAAAGGGATTATTTTATATGCTTATCAAATTTTAATCACACTGATCTTTGTGCACAATGTTCAGTATGACAAATCTTTCTCCTTTGGGACTGAAGCACCGTTCATACCACGGTGGCAACTTAGAACTACTATTTGTTCTGGTAGTGAAAAGCTTGTGGGGAAAAATGCAGTAAGGACAGAGAGATTCATTATTTGTGGAATGGTTGGTTTCCAGTACTATCTTTTCACATTATTTTCATTCCAGTGTCTTTTAGAATTTGGCTAATATTCTGTAAATTATAAAAAGATGATCAAATATGGTACTGTTGCTGGGTTGGCATGAAACTTGTTTGAGCAAAATTCTTAATTCTTCAAGCATAATTTTTTTTTTTAAAAGAAGTGCTTTGGAAGAAGCCCTGAAAGAACCTATTTAATAGATGAAACTAGAAAGATACTCTTTCAATGACTTCGTGTAGTTCAGCTCTGTTTCACCTTAAAGTGACTCTGGAACTATCCTTACTTGAAATGAGCTTAACTACTAGTAGTGGGGTAAATAAGAGGTGGTGGTCTGCATTATATTTTGCTTAATTCAGTGCTCTTTCTCCTTTGTTGTGTATGCAGACTGTTAGAGGAAAGCATATAGATACATTGAAAGATCTCTTACGAAGTTGTAACAATGCTTGTTGGAACTGCACAATTTTTCGTCTGTTGAATAAGGATATCCTGAGCTGAAATTATATAAAGGTCATAATGTCCATAACCATCTTTGTTAAAACAGTCTGTGCAAGCCATTGCTTTTAGTGGCCTGGTTTTTGTCTAGATTTTCCTCATTTTGATTAGTAGAGGTTTTCAGTAGAGTTGGTGGTTTTACTAGTTAAGTTTTAAACCCTTTAAATTAGTGCGTGAAACCCCAAGCTACATTGAAGTATTGTGGATGAAGGAATTCTTATTGCTTGCATTGAAAGTCTTGTGCAGAAGCTGCAGCTGCCAATTCTCCAGGCTTCTCTGGGTTTTTTTAATCTCCAGCTGAATCTCCTTGGAAATGCCTACTGCTGATTGTTTCCTTGAAAATCAAAACTGATTTGCTAAATGAAACACAGCTCATTTTCCCAAAATTGTGGAGCAAGCATGTCAGTGGCATATTTTCTCTCTACTGGTGCCAGCGAGTCTCTAATCAAAATGTTTGACCTAGAGAAATATTAAATTATTGTGGTTCTTGTAATTGGATTCACTTATTTAAAACAGGTTCCATCAACAGATAGAAATGCTTTGAGTTCACTTTGGGGAAAGCTGGCATCTGAAATTCTGTTGCAAAACTGGGAGGCCGCCATGGAGGACCTTACAAGGCTGAAAGAGACAATTGATAATAATGTGAGTGTAATTTTGATCATGTACTGACATATCTAATCTTGGACTTGCAAGAGCTGCTTTATTAGTAAATATTTAATATTTTTTCTTTGCATTTACATTTAAATGCTATTCAAGTCTTTCATTTCAGGTAATGTTTAAAAGGTCTAATAAGCTAAACAAGTTTTAATGAGCTAAATTAGCTAATGAGTTGATTTCACCTAGGTTTAGGGAAGATTGAAGTCTAGTTTTCAGAAGTAGAACAGTAAGTAGCTCAGTATCATGGTTGTCAAAATTTATGTAGCAACAAGTACATTTTGGGACTTAACTCTGTTCCATATTATTCTTGTTCTTATGGTGACATTTGGATCTTGTTAGTATGGAAATATGCCAACATGCAGTGTGTAAGTAGTAATCTGCTTCTGCTAGAACCAAATAGAGATGAGGATAGCACTGCAGTGAAGAGTGCAATAAGACATGTGAAAACATAGTTCACTAGAATGTATGCTCAACAAATAGGAAGTTACATATTACCAAAAAGAGTTTATACCCATCTAGCACTATGACATTTATTCCACTTCTAAGTACATGATGAAGGGAATACTATCAGAGTTTTGTAGAAAGTGAATAGCACATGTTGTATTTGTACTTCTGTTGATCAAGGTAAAGAAATTGAAATAATTTACACTAATTATATAAAGCATCCAATAGAAAATTAGTGTTAAATAAAGGCTATCAGAGGTAGATTATCATTTTCAAGAGAGACAAGATCTTTGACATTTGATAGATGATGGACAGTTAATGCCAGGTGGTCATTCTGGTGAATAAAGAAGAAGGACAAGGCGCACTTACGAAAGCAACTTTGCATCACCTTTCCCCTTATGTTGCTGTGAGATATCCACAACTGGAAGATTTTGTAGAATGCAGATGTGGCAGGCAATCAGATTGAACAGGTCCTGCCACTTTGGAAGAGATTTACTGTCAGTATGACATTTTGGTAATAATATCTCTGAAAATGCCAGATTGATTTTGCTTTCTTTAACTATATTTCTAATGTTTCCTTAATTGAAACAATAAAAAAGAATATGCTGTGCTACCATATTGGTGTTAATTCTAACCTTTTTGATCAATAACATAATGGCACTTTACTGCAACATACATGAGTTCATTTAAGTATTTAAGCACATAAGTTTTTCCTATCAATGAACTGGTTGCTGAACCTTTTCTTTCCAGCAGAGTTGTATTTAGTGTGTTTTGCTTGACTCTCTCCTTATTGATACTTCTTCCTTATACTCCTTCAGAGTCCAGCACCACATATCAGAGTCATATATTTGGTCTATATAGTTCATGAAAGTTTATGATGGATTGGATCCAGATTCAGTTTCTGTAAATGGGAACTTTCCCTTAGTGGAGTTCTACTCAGGACCAGCTAAAGCTGGACAAATTTTTGCCAATTTCACCTTCTCTCTGCAGCCCAAGCACCAGCTCACCCACACTGTAGAGTAGATTTTCAGGGACAGGACATGGATGCTGCAGGAAGAAAAATTGTTTTGTTAACCATTTCCCTATTTTCTAGGCTTAATCAAAACTTTTCTGTGAATGGAATAAGCTATTCTGCTCACAGGATTCAAGAAATTTACTGACAATGTCACTCCAGGGTTTTATGGTGTAGTCTTTCACTGCCTGAATCTAGAATCTTTTGTCATGTCAAACTTTTATTGGTCAAGAAAAAAAAATGAAGCATACTAAATATGGGATGTCTTACACACAAAATGTGTTGCTTTACTGCTGAGCTGTAAAGCCTTTCCCAACTTTGTCATGCCAACTTTGTTTTTCCTCTGCTGTGTAATAAAGGTATTAGTGCCAATGGACCCCACGTCTCCTAGAGTAGCATTTGTGATAGAACAGCCAACAAGATTTGTATATCTACTGTTCTGCAGAAATGTTATATCTTGCGGGCAGAGAAGGCACTGAAATGATCAGTGGTAATAGCAATTTTCTCTGGCTGGCTTGGGAAAAACAAGGAGCTTAGCCATGTAGCAGCTGGCTTGGGCCTTATTCTTTGCTGTTTTTTGCCTATTAACACTTTGAGACCAGAGAAATGATCTCCCATGACCGCACAAGCATGGGAAAGTTGGTGGTGATAGAATTTCCTGTAGGTTTCTGGCAATTTGTTTGGCTTATCAGCTTCTGCAGGTTTGTCACCATTTTTTCCATGCCTTGGGTGTTAACATGGTCCAGGAAATAAGTTTTTAAAATTCAGCTTGGATCATAAAGTTCAGTAATGGCTGCATTTCAGTTTTCTCTGAAGTTCCTGTATATAATCTTGCCCTAGCATATATTAGGGACTCAAAAAACTTTCAGTGGAGCTAATGAAATGAATTGTACTCCATGTTGGGTGATAGTATACTATCTTTGTTTTATGAAATTTTACAGAACAAATGTATCCATCCCTTCCTTCTCTCTGATGTACCCGTCCCCTTCCCAGGCCTCTCAGGAGGATTAGAGGACTTTCCAGAATTATATGGGATGGGGCAGAGAGATGCTATATGGAAGAGATTTCCTGTTGGCAATTTAAGTTAACTTAAGTTGTAGCCCTGTCTATGGCTAGACAGGAAAAACAAATACGACAACTCCCAGGATTCTCCAGCTGCTATGCATGACTTGGGAATGCTGGGAGTTGTAAGCCTTTTTTTGTAAGCTAATATGATTGCACTGTTAGCTTATAGTCTTTAAACAGCAGTAAATATTAACTGTTCAGTAAGATATATTTCTGTTTTTCAGTCTGTCAGCTCTCCACTCCAGTCTCTTCAGCAGAGAACATGGTTCATTCATTGGTCCCTCTTCGTTTTCTTCAACCATCCTAAAGGCAGAGATAACATCATCGATCTCTTTCTCTATCAGCCCCAGTGAGTTGTGTTGTACCTGCAAAAGCGGGGGCAAGGGGGTGAGAGAAGACATAGTAATAATCTAGATTGCTATTCTGGGAATGGTAAAAGTTCTCTCAAACTACCAGGAGTCACTGTACCTTGCCATCTTTCTGAAGCCCCAGGAATAAAATAATTCTTTTGGACATCCAAATTTGAAGCTGTCTTCAAAGTGCTGTGCATAATGAAGGTTGGGGATATAAGTTTCCATTGGCCTACAGACTTTCTAAGCATCAGCACATAATGTTGTGGACTCCTGAAATTAAATGTGCTACCATATGCATACCACAATTTTTGTTGTATACTCATGCATACAAATAAAGTCTTGAAGTCAATGAAATGTAAATAAGCCTGCATAGGATCAGGATAAATGGCCATCAAGTTCCACCACGATCATCATCATTGATTTAGTATACCATCCAATAGTTTAAGTTCACTGGGCTGTTTACAATAACAATACTATGTAAAATACAGATAACAATAAAAATATAAAAATAGATTATAAAATATAAAAGCCAAACTTAAAATCTACAGCAGCCTTCATAAACTAACTTGCAATACCTGTTAAGCAGCTGTCATTATGCCCAAGTGCAATATTAAAGCTAATTAGATACCCTGTTTTAGAAAGCAGTTTTTGGCAGTCTAGTACTAAAACATTACTTTTGGCTCCAGGTAGGCCTCAGTGGGAAACTTGTTCCATGGCTGGGAGGCTGTCACTGAGAAGGTCCTTATTCTTATTGCTACTAATGAGGGTAGCTGTTGAAGGCAGGCCTCAGTTAGGGACTCTTACTGCTATTAAGGACATCAGTGGTAGATTGATTGTACTGATAAGAACTCTTGACAAAACTGAAAGTTGCTAATTCAAAGCACTTTCCTTAAAAAGCTAGCTATGTGATTAGCAATTTGGTGTTTGGTCTGCTAAATTTGGTCCTTTTTAGAGTGCTACAATGTTGCAGATTTTGAAGGAATGAATATTACAGGTACAATCCTTTCAGTAGCAAATGTCATAAACTTGGAAGCAACATTACTTCATAGCTAATTTCATCTGTGCTTACCGTCATCTCTAATATTGTATTACATTTAAAGTTACCAAAGATTTAAGAGTACAGACTATCCATTTCATTGAAATTGGGTAATGATGTAAGTGTTGCATGAGGTAATGCACTGATTCATCGCTATGGTCTACTGTGTGTCAAGGACATATGATTCATCAGTTGTAGCCATTAATACAGACCATGCAAGTAATATTTGCGAATTCATCTCTAGATTAAACTGAAATTGGACTGCTCAAAGTAGTGGTGGCAAACTTTTGTTGTAAGATTTTAATTTAAGGTTGCACCCATTTTTATCTGTGCGATCTGTTTGGTGCCAGCACAGTCATTTAGCACCAGGTTAAGGTTTTCCTCTGCTTTCCAGGCATTCGACAGCTCATGAAGTGGTGCCTCAGGTTTTCTTATTTTTTTAATCAGGTCTTAGTATTTTTATTAATTGTTTTTAACTTCATTTCACACTGTTGTTCAATAGTCAAGGATTCGACATGCTCTGAACTAGTCGGAGAGCTTGGGCTATTGCTCTGTACAGAAATTTAATGAATGATTTGCACTGAACATTATTTTTATATGATGAAACCTATTTTCTGCAATACATCATTCTCTTAAAATACTCTTACGATTTGTAGGGTCTGGATTTGTGTGAAATTATTTGTATATTGTGTTTACCTGGTATGCAATTCATAACCTCTGTTTGGTTGATGAAATAGGGTTAAATGGTGTGTAGCACATTAAGTTTGTGCCAGTGCAGCAATATTTACTCCATTTCCAGCAACTTTTAGCATTGACGTTTATAATGCAATGCTACAGATTTAAATAACTTGATGTTCCCATTCAGAAATAGCATATCCTGATTTTAAGTTTAGAACATGTGGAAATGTGAATGAAATATCCCCACCTTAGCTAGGTAACTCTAACATTTATAATCTGTACTTGAAATTGTGAAATAAGAACTGTGCAAACCAATAGCTCTGTGGCAAATTATTCTGTTAAAAGCTAAACTGTAAGTGTTCACAAGTGAAGAATGTTTGAATATAAATGAAATGTCACTATCCTCCAGAATAAATTTAAAGAAGAGCACTATGGTGGTTGAAAGGATGGAAACCAAAGCATATGGGTGGTTGGCAGAGAAAACTAAACTATACCAGAGAGGGTAGTTGACCAGCCAGTTCCATGTTTCTTTCAGCTTGCTTGAACTGTACTGTCTACATGGTTTCTAAAGCTATGCAACCATTACGAAGTGGGGAGGAGAAGTGAGATCCCCCCCCCAAAAAAAACTCTGCCAAAAACAAGATGTATTCAGATGCCTAGAAACATGGCTAACATTTGAATTTCACTATTCTGCATAATGTGGGAGGTAATCCCCCCCCTGCACATACACTTTTCTCAGTGAAGCTATGAAAAAGATTTGTGCAAATCCACCCATTGAATTAGAGACCAAATTTCTGCCATCCCAACACAACTCTCTAGCTTCTTCATGAAATAAAGACTTTTTCTGGCTCTAGGGAATTTATCTTTGCAGTGATCTCTTATGACATAATATCAAAATGGCCCTTATTCAGCAGGGATTAAAATACTAGCAAAAGTTTTGTAGTAAAAGTTGTAGAAATACTCAGGGTTCAAAGTTTAACAGTTCAAGAAATGAGACTCATTATCCTGCTAGAGATATGGCTATCATTCTCCTTTTTGCTGTGCTCCCAGTGCTGTGGAGGTCTAGGAAGCAAGGCGCCTTCTTCTTGTAGCTTGTACTTTTTTTCCTCAGATTTCTGCTTTTCAGTCTAAATAGTCTGTTTGTTTAGGTACCTTAATGCAATCCAGACGATGTGCCCACATATTCTTCGGTATCTGACTACAGCAGTGATAACAAACAAAGATGTTCGAAAACGTAGGCAAGTGTTGAAGGACTTAGTCAAGGTTATTCAGCAGGTAAGGAATTAAATTCAATAAAGTGAGATATATCTCATATGTCCAGGCCCAGTTTAATTTTTTATGAGTTCCATATATATAAGAAACAAAACTGATTACAGGTACCAGGATACCAGTAAATCCATCTTGCATGCTTTCTAGTATATCTCTATGAAACTGCTGGGTGAGAACTGGAGGCTTGGGCTGAGCTGCTGGCACAATGCTGATTCCCAGCTCTGTTTGCTTTCTATTGTCAAATCTGAGTAAACAAAATAAAACTTTGAACTGGCACTTGAGGGCAGTTTTGGATTGAAAGAAGGTGGTACAGGAGGCCAGAAGATAAGATCATCTTTGACTAATGTACTGATACCATTGATTACTAACTTGTTTCTGGGGTTCATACATAGTGCTGGTCTTACACTCTCCTGTAGAAGGTAGATCATTAAATTGGGAATCAGAAATTCCTATCTGCCTATTGTAAATGCAGGTGATTTACGGTTGATCTTCTACAATTTGCCAAAAAACTCTGTTTTAGCAGTGTCATCTGAAGCATGACAGGGTATTTTTGGTTTTGGGGATTCAGATCATGGAGTAGTAGCCTATCAAGAAAAGTCTGTCTGGTCCCTTCTCTGTTCACATTCACAAATACAGTGAAGACTATGGTTTCAGTAATTATTTTAGTAGGATCTTCTGTAAGAATATGCATGCAAATGCTTTTGATGTCTTATGTCACTATGGTTTCCAAAGTGGTACCAGTGTGCCCAGACACAGTTCTGTCAAGGGCTATAGGGCACCTCATCCATCCTAACCTGTATTTCTTAAAATTTGGTTTGCTTTTTTGTAATAGATAGGATAATGGCTTCAGCACATGCTTTATTTGGTTCTCCAAAACTGTTTTAGTGTTTTGGAAGGGAATAGAGCATTCTCTTCCTAGGCCACCATCCTAGGTTACTCATGTAATGGATGTCTGTGTAATTTCTTGCATGCAAAAGTCAACATCTCCTAAACATTGAATATCTGGTGATGGTGAGAAACATTAACCAATATAGAACTTCCAGTTCTTGAATGAGGATTTTTAAGTGCATCTTATATAGAGTCTCACAAATGGTTCTAGTTGCTATTGCTATAGACCACTTCAATAATATAAACTTTTGGGGGTCCTGTTTGGGGTTATTTACTTAAATACCCACTCTTCAATACACAGGAATCTTACACCTACAAGGACCCAATAACAGAGTTTGTAGAATGCTTTTATGTGAACTTTGACTTCGATGGAGCACAGAAAAAACTGAGAGAATGTGAATCGGTAAGATTCTTCTAGGAAGTTCAGTCTTAAATAGAAGTCTGTAAGTGGTCATCAGCATAATGAAATAACCTCTGAACTGATAAACTCATTTCTGGGGAGTGGGATGGGTAAGATGGAAATCCAAAGATCAAGAGTCAAAGAGACTGAAGAAAGCTGAATAGAAGCACTCCATACTGCTGTATTACCTTGAGTCCTCATTAAGTGCAGGGGTACTTAAACGTCTGAAATTATTTTTTCTGCAGTTCCCATTAGTGTTTGTAGCACTAATACATTGATACATAAAAATAGACATGTGACAGCTGATAACTTGCTCAGAATGGTGATCAAAATTTTGGGGGTCTTTGCTAATGAAGTAGAGCTGTAACATGTTTCCAATCCAAGGTACCCTGACTATTAGGTAAATCTGGAAATGGGGCACTTGTTCACCTCCCTTGTAAAACAGAAGACTGAGATTTGTGTCCCAAATGGTTAGATCTGCTCCCAGCCTAACTAGAAAGATTAAATTTGGTATGTATGCAGCTAAAGAAACCCTCTTAAAATAAAAGTTTGGATACGAGAATCATATAAGATTCCCCTAGAAAGAAAACAAGAAGTAGATTCCAAAATGATTATGGTGTTTCCAGACTACCCAAACATTTGAAATTTGTCCATTTCCGTAATTCAAGGAACTCTGATTACTAAAAACTTAAAAATGGGATACTTCTTGCCCCTTATACTCATTTGCATCATGAAACTTGCCTCCTAATGAAAGCTAGCATTAGATACAGTGTGCTACATATAAATTGTAATTTTGAATTAGCTTAAGGAAAAAGAGCAAATTTCCAAGTGCTTCACAATCCTAACTTCCTTGTGCTGTCCTTGCCAACTACATTTTCTTGCAGGTCCTTGTGAATGACTTCTTCTTGGTAGCATGTCTCGAAGACTTCATTGAGAATGCTCGCCTCTTTATATTTGAGACTTTCTGCCGCATTCATCAGTGTATCAGCATAAAGTAAGAAAGCTAGAAGCATAATAAGGAAAATTCTTCATTTCATAGTCATACAAATGATATTGTGAAGTAGCTGAATTAAAAGCAAAATAATAGCACAGTAAAATTAGAAGATAATTGTAGTTTTAAAACTTTATCTGTATATACGTTAGAGTCCGGTTAATACTTGATTTGAAATATACCTTTAATGAAAATAAATCTAGTGGGAATACATAGAGGAAATAGCTTCTAGAGGACATTTACCTTGATGCTCCTATTCTTCTAATTTTCAGGTAAATCTTTGTAATGGTTACTAACACAAGGCCTGCTGTTGCTCCTGTCTTGTCCTCTTATCTCAGATGATTGTGATTTGCTAGACATAGTCAAAGGGTATTACTGTGGCCCAGCTTTTCAAAATATTTTTACTAAAGTGTGTGCCATCAGATACAGACAGTTAAGGAATTGTGTGTGGTATTGGTAGAAAGAGATTCCCAAGTCTCCTTGAATGTGGTGGCTTTAGAGCTTTAAAATTGGAAAATCTCAGAACCAGGGTTCCTGAAGGTTTTTAACTTTCACCTTGTTGTTTTAAATTTTCCTAAATGAATCTGTATGAGAGCCTGAATATGGGAATTTCAAATCTTTTACCTGTCAATACAAGGAAAATACAAAGTATTTACAAATGTTGCCACGCCATGCTTACCTGATATGATCAAATTAGAAGTGTACTAGTTTTTGTATATTAGATCAGTGTCTTTAAACAAAACTGATGCTGTTACATGTACAAATGCTACTGTTTTGGGAAAGAAACATGAGTGCACTCTAGGAAAGGAAAGGTTATTTGACTGGTTTATTTTGCTTGGTCATTCTAACACGTAGTCCTTGCCTGGTAAACTTGTTTTCAATATTTACACAAAACTTAACACTGAAGTTGGATAAAAAGGGGTGGGAGAGACCATACCAGCTGCCTTGACTTCCTTGCAAAAAGAAAATGGCAAGTTATAAATTTAACATTAATAATAAAACACCCTTTTCAGTCTGATGTCCCTGTCTGGAATTAGATTCCCATCATATCAATCCAACAGTGTCTTGCAACATGTAGGAGTTTGGGAAGGTTGTACCAGGTTGTACAAAGCTACAGTAAAGAAACATATCCAACATGCTAAAACAAATTTAAGCTTTCTGTTTAAGACTGGTTTCTGAAGAACTTTAGGGAACATGTAGAAACTTTAAACAATTTGTTATGCTGTCATTATTTTATATTAACAAAAATATAGTTTAAAACATAAATTAATTTGGATGGGGAGATGAATTCCAGATGTAGTGTAAAAAGTTCTTACTTCCATATAATCTGATATTAAATATACAAAAAGATTTTAAAGACATTTGGGCTTGTAATGGTTATAAGCTAGTAATATAGGAAAGATCCCAACTCATAACTTTTGAATTAGAATACTATCTAGGGTGGTACCAAGATATAATTTTTTGTTCTTCCCCTCCATATTCCAGCACAGCCACCATAGAATTTAAAATAATAACATTCACAACATAGACATTACTATGAAAAGGTTAGTTTGGCTGCTGCTATTTATCTGTAAATGATACCAATAGTAAATGTAAACAGTCTCTACATAATGTAGACATTACTGGAGAAAATACTGCTTTTTTCCAAGTACCAAATGGTGCTGTGTAAGTATTGTGTAACTGCAGTGACCCTGTGGAACAGTAGAAACAGATACGTGCTGTTCACCCAGAAACTTGAGTAAAGGGAATGGTCTGGCATAGGAGATCTTAGGTTCCTGTTCTTGTTGTTGTCTTAATTTTTTGTGAAGCTGTTTGTTTTTATAAGGATAGTAAGACACAGTGATCTAGGGTGGAAAATTTTCATGATTCCAGAAAATTTCCCAGAGCTTTCTATTTTGATTGTAGATTTTTTTTGATCCATAAGTGTTTTAGAAATCATCAATAGATGTGGATTGCAAATGCAAGATTCGGCATGGAAATTAAATATTTTCTTGTGATTTATCTGTAACAAGTATGTAAAAGAATTAGAGATTAGAGTCCTGGGGGTACAGGGGAGAAGTCAGATTTTTCCCCCAAGAACAGTTTTTCCTTTTATCTGAAAAACTGAACACCTTTAGATTAAATAATTTATTCATCATTCTGAAAAAATAAAAGAGAAAGCGCATACATATTACACCCAGCTTTTACTACACCCAAAGAATTTTCTATACTATGTAATAGGTCTTTTTATACAAAGACTGAAGTCTGCAGGGATTTCTTGATCCCCCTCTGTATGATTCCCAGAATAGCTATTTCTTCTATTATTCATTAGATTTATTGATCAAATGTATATTTTACTGAAAAAAATGTTTAGGAATGCTCAAAAGTCATGCTCAGAATTCCAACATGCATGGAAAGACCATATTGTAAAAGAAAATATATATTATTGGTTTTGTATTGCAGAGTCCTGTGTTTCTGGACTTGTTTTAGCTGGATGCTGAAGTGCCTAATGTAGTTCTAATCTTAAATGAACATGTGAATGAAACACTAAGTTCTCCCGCTATTGTTACCAGATGCCATAAAACACATGTAGTTTATTCCAAGTATTTTCCTTTAAAAAGCAAAAACTTAAGGACCTATATCTATAGTTTGATGCCACAATTTTTAATAAAGGTTCCCAATTAGGCATCACCATTATGATCAGCTCAGCTAGTAATTACTGCCAGGACAACACAGTTCCTATGGTGTGGCTGTGGGATTAAGACCACCTCTAGAGACAGCCTTTCAAAATGTCTATTAAAAGAAATTATTTCCAAAAGAGAATAAAATGTCTCTCTTTTGTCTTTTCTAGCTGAATGAATTCTTAATTACTGTTCCTTAAAAGCAGGTTTTTCTAAACACCATCCCACAAACTGGATCAAGTTTAGCAATTTCTCTAAACAGGTTTTCATCTGCCTTAACTTATTCCTGTTTCTTCTGGCTTCTAAAATCTGTCTTCTAAAATGATGCAGATGTTTCAGGGAATGCATGCTGAAGTTCCCTCTGGTCAGACATAAAATTCAAATCTAAAATAAATTTGAATCATAACTTGCTGAGTTCATTAAAATCATGTTTAGTATAGTTTATTAAAGCATGTATCTAGACAATGTACCGAGTTTACTTTTTAAACTTGTTGATTGCAATGATAACTTTATGAGCAAAGGCTGTCCTAAAGCAGCAAGCTAACATTTGATTTGTAAAGAGCACTAAATAAATATTGCATATTTCTCAGTGTTTCCCATTTACAGAAGTTTTAAATTTATAGAGAAAATGCATATATCATTGACTGGCCTGTGTGTTAAAGTTATAAATGGAACTAAGAAGTAGTGCCAATAAAACTGAAAGTGCTGCAAAACTTGTAGAAGACTTGAAATAGCTGATTGCTTATGAGTATATCATACCATTTTTTGGCTTGCTAAAATTAATTAGTGCAGATGTCACTAAGCTAGTATATTCCATTTGGGTTAGACTACAACTTATAGCCTCCCCAGCCAGGCCTGCCAACACATCTGGAGGACCAAGTAGGAAGTGCATGAATTAGTATGTTAACAATGTTTCAGTTACTTTTATTTCCTTTAAACATTTATGCATGTAAAGGAGGTATATGCTACTGCCTTAAACTTTGAACAAGTGGTCTAATAAAAATCTGAATAATACAGCATTTAAATCATATTAAGTATTCTTTAATTTTTCATCAAATATTTCAGTTTATGTATTTGTAATTCATAACACAGGACACCTGTTTGGCTTCTTTGTTGAGTTGGTTTGCTAAATCAGATCAGGTCATTTTCTAAAGCAGACTAAAATTTTTCTGATGCAAATGAGGAAAATTTCAGAAAATGTTCTTATTCAGCCTTTTTTGGAAAACCCACCTCATTGGCTAGACTGCATGGCCCACTTCCACCAGGTGAAACTGGACAGTCATCTGAGAGGGATGGTGTAAATTGCTGTCCTGTAACCACGGTAGGGTGGACCCAATGGCCTTCATAGCCCCTTCCAGCTTTAATATTCTGTGATTCTATGAACAAAATTAAGCCATCACTTGTCCACATCCATCATGTGGCAGAAACTGTACACAGGATATAGATGAAGCAAGCAGTAGTTGCCAGAGTTCCAGTAACGCTCTTCCAGGCTTTGACAATCTCAGGAATCACTTGCATTCTGTTTCCTGTCTGGTTCACACTTTCTCCACACAATTTTAAATAGTGAAGGAATGGCTCACATTTGTTCACATATAGGCAGACATGCCATTTGGACTAGCTAGAAGGGTTATATTTAAGAAAAGTTTAATTGATGCAGAATCCAGTAAATGAGAGCTGAGAAAGGAAACCAGTATAGTGAGAAACTGCTCCATTGCTTAATGGCACCTTTAGCCTTTTTAGCCAAAGACACTTGCTGTAAAGTCCTCTGGTGTGCTTTCCAAATAGAATTTGTTCTGTTCTTACATAATGATGCTACTTTAGATACATGCCCCTGAATTGTAGCTTACACCCTAATTTCCAAAGAGCCATTCATTCATAAGACTTTCAGAAGTTGGCACACAAGAATCCATCATCAGTTCTGTTTTCTCAGATGGAAAACTGGCAGTTGAGTCAGTACTGCTCTGTTGTGTAGTATGCATATTTAGTGTTAGATAATCATACTACTAAATGTTAGTAGTATATTGTGAGCCAGGCTACATTTCAGCCTATCATTTATCAGTTTCAGCTGAAAGTCTGCAAGTGTATTTCTCTTAAGACAGGCAACCAGAAAATAAATTAGCTGGACTTCAGTTGTGGGTAGTCAGAGATTGCACTGGGGAGTGATTAAAATAGACTCCAGTGTTGCACATTGGCCAAGTTTCAGATAAAAACAGTGGACATTACTGAAACCTAGAAGCCAAGGGTAGAATAAGATTTATAATTCTCCAGTGAATGAAACAGCAAAGGAAATGCCATCTGTGGATTGCCTGTTGACAGGACAGCAGATTTGCTTCTTGCCTAATTCTGTAAAGAATACGAAATTGGGATAAAGTGACATCCTTAAAAGAGTGACTCATATGTTAAAACTTGTGTCAGACTCGCATATCTTGGGAACAAGTGGTTTGAAAGAGCACATTGAAATGCCTAGAGCTTTATTGCTAATTGAGTTAAAATGAAACTCCCTGGAACTGTTACTTCACCAAAAGCCAGATGGACATTTGGCAAATGAGAAGTGGCTTAGATGGCCCTTTTCTAGACAGACTGTGTGTGTGTGTCTGTCTGTCTGTCTGTCTGTCTGTCTCCTAGTGTTGTGAGGAAATTGTCTGGTTACCTAACCAAATCTAATTTTGTTCAGTATGTGGAATATGTAGTTCTTTTATAATCCTCATTGGCCATTTCCTATATAAATTTCAACTGTTAGAACCAGTGTAACATCTGATGTGGTTTTAAATAGTGTACATAAAAACACTTCTTAGTCATAATGGTTCTTAAGTGGTCAGATTATTATAGGAGTGGGCAGAAGATAGATTGGGAACTACTTGGAGATTTCCAACAAAGAAGCGAGGATTTCTGCTTTCAGTTATTTAATGATTTCATTAACATTATGAAATTCCTCCCTGCCCCTAAACTATACAGCAGAAATGAGAAACATTGAGATAACCAGGAATGGATATTTGGTGGAAGGACTGTGAGCTACAGTTAGTTCTGGCACTCAGAGCATATCATTGGATTCACAGTTCTTTCATTCAAAATCTACTTTATGCACCAGGTTCCTCTCTGTGATCTTAGGGTTGTGATTACAAATAAATACCCAAATCTAAATTCTGCTTCCTGGATTATAGCTTGTTATACCTCCTTGCCTTCTTTCCTATGAGTAGCCCTTGATTTTCTACTGTTGTGCAAATATTGTTAAGCACATGCGTCATCAATAGGTCTTAAATCTAGTGAATATTTGCAAACTGTTATTACAAGCAGCAAGATTACAGTATGTCAACTAGGCACTCTCATGGTGAATTTAAAGGTCTCTTGCATGCATGTTAGATGTGTTTTAGTTGAAACTTCCTGAACCAGGTGCCCTCCAGATGAGTTGGGATACAACCCCCAGAATCCTTTCTGCTAGCATGATCTGTAATTCCAGGTATCTGTAGGGCATCAGGTTGGTAGAAGGTTGGTATTGTGTGCCTTCTAAACAATTTCAAAATAAACCGTATTGTGATGCTAGGGCACAATTGAAAACAATGCTGTAACTGTGATATACATAGCTGTTTAGCATATTATCTAATTCCAGTGTTTACAAGTACAGACATGCAAATATCAAGACCAGAACATACATTTTATTGAATGTCTTCTCTTTCTCCCCCTCCCATCCCAGTATGCTGGCAGATAAGTTAAATATGACCCCCGAAGAAGCTGAACGATGGATTGTGAATTTAATCCGTAATGCAAGACTGGATGCCAGAATAGATTCAAAATTGGTAAGCTCTATAGTATGTTGTATAGCAAAATCTGATCTGTTAAGGGAAACTCCTAAAACTCATTTCTAGCTGTAACAGAATATCTTTTCAAACTGCATACATAGTTCATGGCTTCAAATGAACTAGTATATAGTTAGTTAACATATAGTTAAGTATAATATATAATTAAGTGTTTCTCTGGAATTCTTGGTTATGCTTAGATCAGCTAAAAAAAAGTAAAATCTCGCCTTCTCATATTCGCAAATATATTGTATGCTAAGACATAGCAGGATACAGAAGACCACATAGGAAGTTCATCTTTTGTAGAAGTATTGAGCCATGGATCTGGCATATAAATTATGGCAGATGAATAGTGAAGTATCAAGTGAGTTGCAGGCTGAAATATCTCGACTGTCACAAGTTGCCTGCTCCTGTTTAACATGTTCAAGTCCCAAAGTGTTGGTTGGGTTATAACTGAGATTACCAATGTTGCACTTTCCTACCTATTGAACCAGGCTGGAGCTGAAAAGGTGCTGCAACAGGAATATGGTTGGCAGCAAAGTAAGCCCTCTTGGAGGTTGTAAGGGGCATGGAAGAATCAAATTTTGTGCTGCGTACTTTACCATTTTCCTAGTAGCACTTTACACTCTCAAATTACCAAAACGCTAGACTTTCTGGGTTTAAACAGGGGATGGATCTGACAACTGGTAAAAGTTCTGACTTTGTTAGTGTGTTTACAAAGTTGGCAGCACTTGTCCCACTTGTAAACACTTGCACCCTTGGTTAGCATTGACACATAGAATGGAATAACTTTTTTTTCGCTATATATTTATATCCTGCCTTTTTTCCTTCAAGGAAGTCAAGGTGGCATACATAATCCTCCTCCTAAATCTTATCCTCACAAGAAGCCTGTGAGGATTCTTTAGAGGCAGTGAATGGCTGAGTGGGGAGTGGAACCCAGATCTGCTGAGTCTCAGTCCAACACTTTTACTGTTAATAGCACACTGGCTCTCTATTGACTTTTACAGATCTAGGTTACAGATCTTACCTAGAGGTCACAAAATACCCTGTAAATCCTGCTTAGTGACTGCAAGCATAAAATAAAGATATACCACTCTTGATTGTAAAATGTATTCTATGTGCAGCTTGCCCAGCTTTTGAACTAAGATTTTTTTTTTCTTTTTTAGGGTCATGTTGTTATGGGGAACAATGCAGTATCACCTTATCAGCAAGTGATTGAAAAAACCAAAAGCTTGTCTTTCCGAAGTCAGATGTTAGCTATGAATATTGAGAAAAAACTGAACCAGGGCAGTAGGGCTGAGGTAAGTAGAAGCAGTCCGGTCAATATATTGTCCATCCAATTAGAACTCTCAGAAATGGAAAACAGTGAGATGGCTTTCTGTATTAAGGCTTTATCTAATTACAGCATTTATATCTATTTACTTATTCAAATAAATTGTAGGAATATATTTAGGGAAATAGATTGAGAATCAAATTTATATTTCTCAAACGTTAACTCATATACACATAGCTAAATATTTCCACTGAATAGTGTGCTTGTTGCTCTGTCCAAAAGTAAATGTTAACATGTTTTTGTATAATACTTGGTTTCAAGTCATATTAGCTCAGAGTGAAGTAATTGAATTCTGATCTCCAAATTTCTTTTCTTTTAAGGCACCTAACTGGGCTGCTCAAGACTCTAGTTTCTACTGAAATACTTCCAGGGAAGAAAGACAACTTCCATTTGATAAGGACTTCAATTATGTACTGTTCTGAAGAATTAATAATTATGTGAACTTAGCAGCACATTATGATTTGAATAAATTTGGCTACTTTTAATTTACTGGTTGTCTATCTTTAATACTTCGTGTTGCTTGGACTGTGAATGTGAACACTGAAGGTTGAAATGAGACCAGTGGTTTGTGTGTCCTTTCAACACATATATATGCTCTTCTCTTGTGATATTTCCAAATTATAAAGCTTCTGTCAACATCTCACATTCTGTAAATATGTCACAAAAATTCACTGCCGTAAGATGGAAAAGTATTTGGCGTAGCATCTGTTGCCATTATAGGTTTTAGATTGTGTGTGATTATTGTCCCCATACCTTTAAAGGAAGACTAAAAATGCTGGGAAAGAATAGAATTGATAAACTATATTTTACGTAAAGTGGAGGTAGTTAAATCAGTGGATGTAAAGAGTGCAGGTAGATTATTCAGGGAAAGTATGATACACTAAATAATGTGTGGAACTCTTTCTTGTATTCTTATACTGAGTACTACCACAAATAGGAATGTCTGTGTAGCATAGAAGTATAAATGAAAGATAAATTTGTCAATAATACATTTGATAAATTGCAACTGTTGGTTTGAAGGCATGGTGCTGCAGAATCCTGCCTGCTTCAAACTACAACACTGCATATAGCATAACTCTGGCAGAGCATGCGGCTTGGCATTTGGAGAGTTTCAAGTTCAGTCCCAGCTGCTATGAGTTAAAAGAAGCTTGTATATCAGGACTTTAGAAAGAGCTCTACCTGACAACTTGGGAGTAAACAATAATGGTCTTGATGGGTCAGTCACCTGATCATATTTAAAATAATCATATGCAAATGACTAATACTTTCATTTACAGATGTCAAGAGCTACTGTCTGACCGTACATGCCAAGCTTAGACTGACCTTTGTTTTAAACTGTTGTGGAGCTGGTACTTGAATGAAGGCTTCTGTATGGTAGAACCAGAGCAGGTCCTGCATTTTTAAATTGGTCTCTGCCTTCTATTAGTACATTTCCAGGTGAAGCATTCTGGAGCATACATCCTTTCCATTATTACAGGTCTCTTTAAAAGTAATTTACAATTATGCAAACAGTTTGCATTTGTTGGGTCAGCGTGTAGCTATTAACTTAGTTTTGTCAGTATAATCGATGCCAAGTGCTATGATATAAAGTTTTCCAGTATCCTCATCTAGTAAAATGATCAGACCCTAATCATATTTATTATAATCCTAGAAACCATTGCTTGATTTCCTGTTCCTAATATTTTTCACATTCTAAATCTACTGTTCTGGACATCCTTTAGCCAGTTTGGATAGGTTGTATGCTCAAATTAAAACTAATGTCTGAACTGTCTCTAAATGCCTTTGCATATGCAAGAATCAAATGGAAGAGGACATGGATGTAATTAAAGATAAAAAAAGATGCAACTTAATGTATACAGTTGCATGCAGGGACACACAGGACACTTGATAGAACTGGAACTAGGTGGATATTTTATGTTTATATTCATGCAACAAGAAGATTATGCTTTAAACTGGGGGAATTGAACTAACTAGCTCAGGCTATGAAACAGATAATGCAAGTATTAAAACTTCAATTGCCAATTGGGTCTTTAGGAAATTTTATTTTTAAAAAATATAGATGTAATATTTTTCCAATCTTGGTGCATCTGCAGGCCTGCAGAATATAATTTTTATCATGATTTGAAGAGTCATGTTGCTTAGAAGGTGCTTTATAACTTGTTCATGAGTGATTTGCCTTTGTGGATAAGCAGTGAGGTGGCCACATTTGCAGATATTACAAATTATTTACATGTTGAAAACCCAGATGGGACTGAAAGACTAACAGGATGTCATCAAAACAGCAAATGTTCAGTAGTTCAATGAAAGTTCAGAGTAATGCATTTTAGGATTCCCCTCTCTTCCAACACACATCTTTATATATACCTTGATGGAGTCTGAGCTGGCAATGAATGATCAGGAAACAAATCTTAAGACTGAGATGGGTAATTCAAGGAAAACCTAGAGCAAGTATGCAGTAGCTGCAAAAAAGTTTTAAGAAAGGGATTGAAAATAAAACAACCAGTAACATAATATAAATATTATGCAAATCTTGTATTTGAGTGGCTGTGCCCAGTAACTGCTGCCCCATTTCAGAAAGATTATTTCAGCTTGGATGTTTAATAGTTTTACAGTCCACTATTTGAATAAAGCTTAGCATTAAGTGAAAGTATAGTCTAAACAGTGCAACTTAAAATAAATTACTGTTAAAAGTATAAAATCTGGTCTGGTTACACACAGTAAGCTTGCAACATATTGGTTGTAACTGCATACTATGGATGTATGCCAAATAAAGGGGGTGAAGACATGAAAAATACTGCTGTCAAATAAGATTTTTTTAAAGTAATGTTTCTTTGGGGGTATGATATACTGCAATAAAACAGACCGTGTCCATCCACAGGGATGTCAATTATATGGAACCAAGCCTATTATATAACTCCAAAATAAGCACTAGAGCAATTTGGCTTAATAGTTACATCACTGCTTGATAACAGTCAGCAAAAGTGCTCTTGTATAATAACTTGCAGGGGTTTTTAAAATACAGATTAAACTGGAAAGCTTGTAAACACTGCCAACATATTTGCCCGATCAAAAAGCTCATTTCTGAAAAACAAATATTCACCCTGTAATGCTGAGTTTAACAAAAAAAAGTTCAAGTTTTAAGTTAATAAAAATGGCAAATTTTCACAGTTCTTCCTTTTTGATCCTCATTTGGGGCAAATTAACAAGAGGGAAGCACTATACCACCTCCCCTCATTTTTTCCCTGTCATATGCAATGGCAAATGGAGTATTAACTGTGTGAATAGTTTTGAGGCCCAAGAGGGGCTTATGGTGCATAAGAAAGACTAGCTATGCAAAACTTACTGATTCATTCACCATGAATAACCCATGAATGAAATGTCTTATGCATTTTAATAGCTTTAAATTTCACCTCTGCCATTTCAAATGTGGTGTGGTTTTAGCATTTGCTCATTTTATGAGTTTACAGCTGAGCATGCATGCATACTAAATAAGGGGAAAACCCTTACAGTCTGCTCTTCTGCTCTGGCCAGATAGCCTGAATCTCCCCTTCTTTGCTGGGCCTTAGCCAGCTGATCCTTCCTGCAGATCTTTATTGTACCCTTTTGCGCAGAAAAGCAGTTCCAGAACAAATATAGCAACCATCTAGTTTATCCACATAAAACCCAGTAGCTTGATTTCTTTTACAATATAATTGAAATATGCATTATTGGTCTTGTTCCCATGTAACAACAGCCCAGAGTATGGGTTGTCATTGTGGTTGTGAACTCCTGAGTTGTTTGTGGATAATAACTCAAACCAGATTACAGGGCTTGCCTATAATAACCCATGATTTAACAGCAACCCATACTCTGTATTATCATTACATTTAAATTAGGTTAATACGTTGGTGTAACTCCTGTGCATTCAGCATTGAACAGGTGCATGTGTATCCTTTTATCTGTCCTCGCCCACAATTGTCAACATCTCTAAAATGTTGCCTTGCTCTTGCTTTGGATTTCTCTACTTGTACAGGGTTTCCAAACAAGAGCTTCCTACTGGATGGTAGTCCCACAAAGCCTACATTTCCTGGTGGGAGATGCCTAGCTTGTGATGTCTCTTCTGTATCACACAAGAGGCTAGGAGCAGATTATATGATAAACCTGTTCTTAGTGCCTTTCTGCATCAATCTGAAGTAGTCCAAGCAGCTCTCAACAGGATTTGTTTCTCACTGACTTCTTTAGGCTGAGGACTCACCTGACCCATGCTATCCCATACAGCCCCCACCCCCTGCACATAAAAAAGTAGTAGTCAACCTTTCTGCTTTTCTATATGCAGGGATATATTTCTTTGTTGGCATGTGAGCTGATGATTTCAGTTCCAGGAGATACAGTCGAGAAGCAACAAGGTATGCCATCCGTTGGATGATTGTGAAACTAGATTAAGATTTTCATGTTTGTTCTTAGGATTTATATCCAATGGAGGGGGAGGAAGGCCATTTTCCCGTATTTTGTGGCCAGCTTCTCCATACTGCTTCCCACAGTGTTCATTCTGGAGCAGCTCTGGGAAGGCAGAATTGCCAAAAATCATGTCTTGCCCTGGTCCTCTGCTAGATCAAATAACCTTCCATCAGTAGAAGGACACCACCAAATGCATCCTATTATTAGTGGCAGAGTTGAGACAGCATGGTGGTCTCTTTCAATTTTCTAGTGAAATACATAGTATGGTTTTGATTTAGGTATGGGTATTCTGATCGTGGGCCCAAGAATTTGTCCATCAGCTATCAGTTCTAAGATTTAGAAGCAGAAGAAAGATGTGCTTTATAAGATAAAAATGAATCATGCTGTTTGTTCATGTTAAAAGAAAAAAGATTCTGTTGGTTCCGGGCTTAGTCATGGTCTGAGCAGAGTATTGAAATCAATGGGGCAAGTTAGTCACAATTAGCTTAACTTCTGGTGATTTGTTAGTTGTGCTCTAAGCATGACTAAGCAGGGTCCAACCAGTTATCAAGATCTTAAGACATCTGTACTTAAAAGCATGCTTTGATTCATCTGGCTTTTAAAAAATGCATTTCATATCCTTCATCTAGTCTATTTACTAGCAATCTTATTTCTCATGTTCAGAGTGCTTTCTATAAATTCTTGGGCATTTTTAAAGGGAGAAGTAGATTTAATTTTGGGGAAAAATATATCTACTGCATTTAGTCATGGATAAGATTGCAACCCAAATTAAAGGAGCAACCAACTTGTGGTGTATTTTATGGATGATATTTTAGAAAAGTGGCTGCCATTTCTTAACTATGTGGATTCCACCAAAACAATGTGCAAATAACCACTTTCCCTTGGCTCAATAAGATATTCTGTAACTTTAAAAAAATGAATGTCTGTGCATTTTTTCATTTTTATACTGCCCCAAGAGCCGTAATCTCTGGGTCATTCGCAAAAATTAATTTGGGGCCTGTATTCTTGAACTGTTTGATTTTGTTTGACATAAAAACTGTAAAAGAAAGATG